TCTCTACCGGCCGATGGGCGGCAGCAGCAGTTTGCTTTCCTTTCATCCCTGCTCTGTTATATGTGCACCATAGCATCATGTTACAGACATGCATGAGATAAAACGCTTTGCTGTCTGCAGAGAAGAACCTGATCTACATGTGCTGCTACAACAGCAAGTCGAATTATGACACGTTGTAAACGAGGATATCTGAACTAATATTTAAAAGCTGAGCATATGCAGACTGGTTATGTCATGCAGCCAACTTCTGTTGTGCAACAGAAAAAGAAAGAGCACTCACGATTGCTAAAAGATTTGCAGTGATGATGAAAGAAAGGAGGACCTAAGAAAAGTTTTCCATCTGCATGTTTTTTTTTTTTAAACTAAAATGAGTTAGGTTGCTTTCTGTATAACATCTATTTGATACATCAACCTCTGTTTATCCACACAGGTTCAGTTGGCTGCATTCAGCCATGCAAATACTCCTCCTGAATGAACCTTCTATTATCCGTTCTTCAGGGAAGTTTTTCCTTGTTTGGACCAAAAACAGGAAAAAAAACAACATTGTGAAAAAACAGAGTCAGAAATAAACTGTTTCCTGCAGGTTAAGGGTGGGCACATCCAGTCATTCCTCCATACAACATGAATACATTTAACAATTTTATGAAAGTTGGTTAAAAATAATAAATAATCAGTCATTTTTTTAACTTTTTTTATTGTTTTAATTGCTTTGTTTTTAAACCATCTTATTAGCTTGGTGTGTGATGAGAACTTTATTGCTGCTGTGGTTTTTTTAATAAGCTTTATCAGGGGGAGTGGTGGCTTAGTGGTTAGAGCTTGGAATCCTGAGGTTGGGAGTTTGAAACCCACTCCCACAGACTGCCACTCTGGGTCTCTGAGCAAGACCACGTAACCCCCGGTGCCCCACAATGGCAGCCGACTCCTCCCCAAGCAGGTGGGTTAAATGCAGAGGTAGGGGAGTGGTGGACTAGTGTTTAGGGCATTGAGCTTGGAATCCAGAGGTTCTGAGTTCAAGCTCCACTGGGTACATGAGCAAAGATCCTGTTGTCGGAAAATTTAGATTTCTCTTATTTCATATATTAATTCATCCCATTTACTCACTATAAAAGTTTTAACTAAATCCGTTTCACCTGCAAGGCCACACAGTTCTCCTTGTGCGAGGATGTTTGTAGACAAGCAAAGCTTCTTCTCAAAACAAGCCAGATTCTTTCTTAAGGTTTATTCATAACATTTTACTGTTTAACCAAAGTGTCTGTAATTTGTTTTGACTCTGACTACTTTCTATTGTTGTAAGTAAAGGGGAACGAACGCTGCTCAGGCAGAACAGGGCTGAATACTGTGCCATAAGGGCCGTATGATAAACTGTTCTCTCTTTGCAAATATAAGATATGAATAAATGTGCTGATTGAGTGAAATCCGTCGATCTCTGTTTATTTAACTGGTGTGAGCAGCTGAATACTTTTTTTTCCCCACTACAATTCTTAACCCCACACTGCTCCCTGGCACAATGGCAGCCCACTGCATCCTCAAGGGGATGGGTTAAATGCATAAAGTTCATTTCATTGCTCTGTACTTGTGACAGTGTAAAAAATAAAATAAAACACTGGAAATTATAAATTAAAATGAGTCAAAAATAACAGAAAATCTACAAAAAAAAAAAAGAAATCTAAACATTCAGTTTTTGGATTCCTCACTGAGAAGCTGATGTGTTTCTATTCATTAGGATATTTCATTCAAACAAAGATGCTCTGGCTGTTTACTTGCTCTATTATGTAACCATGACAGTGACAGATGCCATGATGACTCCACCTGTTTGTGGCCATATTTACACCTGATCAGAGTAAAGTGCTGACTGCTCACCTGTTAATCTGTTTGTGTCTATGAGCATCAGTATACTGTTGCTACCATGGAACCAGTAGCTGACACTTTTAAGTCAAGTTTTAAGTGATTATTGAAATTATTTTTGATACTTGTTCAGTTTCCAAGGATTGTTTATTTATACCTGTAGGTAGATTTTTTCTGAAGTGATTGAAGACAGACACTAAAAAATATTAAGGCTACATAAACAAAATCACAGCACGACACAGAAGAGGAGATGGGAGTTAAAAATCAAGACTGAAAATAAAAAAGGAATAAAAAAACAAATGTTTTCACAAAAGGCTTCTGTTGTGCTCAAATCTGATTAAATATCTAGTTTAGGATGAAAACTAGACCTAAGCTGTTGATTCCAGATTTATCATTCAAGTCTTTCCTTCATTATAATTTGATCCTTTTATATTTTTAGCTTCCACAGTTGAGGAAAAGCATCAAATATCATTCTACTTCAGAGTTAAACAGAGATCATCATAACGACTGCTTCTGAAGGTGCAGCCCAGTCAAAAACTTCACTTCTTTATCAGCAGCTGCTGCTCTTCTAGCCTATCTGGTTGTTAGGCAGCGTAAACAGGAAGCGGGACATTTCCCTCTTGCAAATATTTGGGAAATAACCAGAGTCCTTTGCAAATATCTGCTAACAGAAACAGGGATCTTAACAAGTGTGTGTGCATCAAAGCTCCAAATTTGAGAGTTAAATCAGCATAACCATTCGCATGATACGCAGAATTTGGATCGCACAAAATGTGTCCTTTGCATCTTTGATCCCTTAGTCAAAAGAATTAGATTTATATTGCTATTTTCTATTACAAAACAAAAATTCGTTTAGAACAGCTCTCTAGACAATAAAATTTTTTAAGTGCAGCTTTGATAAGGTAAGCATCAGTTGTTGTTGAGCTGCTACTACCTCCTCCAGCTCCTGAAGCACTCGCTTCTCCTGGCTCAGGGGAGGAAGAGGACGATGATGATGAAGCTGTGAGGGTGGTCGCCCCCTGGGTTGAATAGGCAGACGTGGTTGAAGCAGCAGTGGTGCCATTCGGCAGGTTTAGCAACGACAGACGACGCTGGAGAAGGTGTGGAAGCCGGAGGGGGGCGGGAGGAGCCGGCTGGGGATGTTTCAGCATTTGGCAGGGAAGCATCTAGAGTGCTTTCCACATTTTCACCTGCAGAGGGCTGTGCTTCTTTCTGGATGCCGAAGACTGCCTGGGAACAGTCTCAGAGGAGCCTCCATTCCTGCAGACCTCTTTGTTTCTATCGGTGCGGTACGGCATCAGCTCCCCCAGCCCAACAACACCGTCCGGTACTGCTGGACGCAGCCAAGACCAAGTCAGAATGATGGCGCAGCAGTTACATATCTCCTTTTTTGAAGAGAGTTCGAGTCGAAGATTATCCATTTTGTTTTCCAGCGAGCTGATGTTGGAGGGCAGGATTGATGGAAGCGGCGGTCTGTGGGGAATTTCTCTTTAGCTTTGCAGTTAGCTCCCCTCCACAGCCCCGCTTTCCCCTCTCTCGCGCATCTCTTCCTCCGTCCGTTATTTTCCGCTGTTGTCCTCCTGACATCCGTCCGTAGCACGTCACAGCTTTTTAAATCGTCAAAAATGTCAGTATTTGAAACATTTTGGTACCGTAGCTCCAGCAGGCGTTGGCGATAATAGACGCGGGTTTTTATGTTTAGTTTGTATCGTTTTAAGCAGCATATTTTGTGAAATTGTCGAGAGGAGCTGCTCTTGGCCGCTGCCTTGGAGCGCTGCAATGGTAACCGAAGCGTCGCCAAGGTAACCAAAGATGCGAACACGCCTTTTCCTATGTAGGACATGGAAATCACCTGATTCTGAGGCCGCATTCGTGTTCAATTTGAATGAACCGTGACGACAACGTAAATATGGAGAGTGAGCGAACTCAAGCAGCATCAAAAGACTCAAGATACCGACAGGAGAAGCAGACTTGTTGCTTTAAAGTTATAACCGGAGGGTTTTTTGAGTTTATTTTTATAATGTTTTTAATCAAAAAATAATTTGATTGTTTTAATTTTAATCTGACTTTATTGGAAGTCTAAACAACTTAAAATCGTCTTCAGAACGCAAAACAAAATGTTCTTGGAAGGTAAAGATTAATCTATGATGAAAAACTGCAGATAAAGATTAAGCAGATGCCTAAAAACAGTCGGTAAGTGTAAAATGTTACCTGTTTGGGTCACAGCTTCACCTCCGACCTCTTCAGAGCTCTTTTCCTGCTGTGAGGCTCCCAGGCTGGCTCTGGGGGCCACCGGGGGCCTGCGTGGCGCCCTGGGATTCGGTGGGGAGGAACCGGCGCTGATGGTGTGCGTTAGTTTGGGCGGAGGTGGCCGTGGGGCGGGGACAGGCGTCCCTGATGGGAGAGGGTCTGTAACATTCTGTGGTTTGGCTGTGATGGAGGGCTTTAGTTCTGATCCCAGGTCAGACTGTGTGGTTCTGGTTGATGACGGTTCTGCAGTAGTTTGGGTTTCAGGGTGAGATTCCACAGGGCAGACTTCAGGTGTTCCTGGCTTTCCTGATTCCCCTGCAGCTCCTCCATCTTCCCAGAATGCCCTGCTGGAGGGTTTGGGAGCAGCTGGAAGGTTTTTGGGTTTTGGAGCGATGGCAGGTGGGATTGATTTGGCCTGTTGCCCCAGGAGACGAGGCCGTGGGCGAGGCTCGGGTCTTGTAGCGACTGAACCCTCAGTAGTCACCGTATGGACACCTGCAGTGTCTCCACAGCCCCCATCGGCCACTTGCTGCTCGAACGCCTGAATCCTCGCTCTCAGAGTCGCCATGTCCTCGCCGTCCTCCTCCCCGCTCTCTGATTGGCTGTCCTCGCTGTGGGGGTCAGGGAATCCCCAGTCGTCTGAGCTGAACGCCTCCAGCAGCTCCTGCAGATACGGCCCCTGGTTCCCCTCTGGGTTTGTGCGTCCGCCGGCTGCCCGGGCCGCTAAGGTGGCCAAACCGTCCTCACGCAGTTTAACCAAAGTCTGGACTTTAACCTCGTTGGCCGGCTGGCGACCTAGCCTAGTACGAGGACGTGGCCTGGGGCGCTCCAATGGGACATGTGTGGACGCGTCAGGAGGAGGAGCCAGTTCCTCAGCAGGTAAACTCTGGTCCCACTGGTGGGTTTGACTCCCACAGGTCAGTAGTGAAGATAACTGCTGCTCACTGAGGGAGGTGGAGCATTGTGTGTGTGTGGAGGAGTGTGTTACAGGCAGAGGATGTGTGTTTGAGGTGACGCTGTTTGTCTCAGAGGAGCTAACAGCTGATTGGCTGGAGGTGATGTTGAGGTCATCTGTATCCGATGATCTGATGGTGCAGGGGGGAGGAGGGCGGGGCGGTCTCCCTGATCTTCTTTCTACGAGCAGGAACAGATTTCGCTTTTATTACACAAAAACAAACCTATAAGAGCGACAATCAGCTTTCTAGTTTACCGCGAGGATTGGGAGCAGGTCCTGGATCGGTCTGTGTGGCGATGGTCGTTCTAGAAACAGGCGGTGAGTTGGAGGCAGGAGGAAGGAGAACCTGCTCCTGTGTTTTCTCTCTTATCACCTCCTCGTAGGAAGGAGGAGGCTAAGGAAGGAAGGAAGGAAGGAAACGACGGTAAGAAACGAGCAAAAGGAAACTTTAAGATGAGGTTTTCCAAGCAGGTGGAACACAGAACTGATAGAGTTTAAATTCACTAGCAGGTCACAGTTAGATGGTTTCATCTTGATTGGAGGTGAAGGTTTTCGTGTCCAATCAAAGGAGTCTGACCTGAAGAACCGGAGCGATAGTGGGTCCCCAGATCTGCGCCGGTGGAGGAGGAGGAGGAGGGATTCCTCCAACAGCTCCTGAGAACCAGGATGTAGAGGGAAGTGGCTCCGCAGCCAAGATGGTGATCTCTGGTCGCCTAGCAACCAACAAGCAACAGGAAGTCATATCGAAGATGTTCAAATCAAAGCGTTAGTTTGTAAACTAATCAAACTAAAGCATTAAGGAATCAGATCAATTAAGAATAAATGCCTCAGACGGTAACATTTTCTCTCTGTTGTTTTAAGATTTAAAATATAAAAACAAAAATTTACTTTTTTTTTTTTTTTTTTTTTTACAAATGTATGCATAAAGAAATTAAACAATTCATCATTTCAGGTTCTGCTTAAAACAAAGTTAATAAAAAACCTGTTCTGTTCTTGTTTGATGATTCTAAAATGCTATCATCAGAATTTGTTCCCTATAAACTTCCCTAAAACTGAAAAACTTCTGCACCTCAAATGTAATTTCTTTTCAGGCTCAATGAAATCCTAAAAGGAGGTTCTAGATGAAGCAGCTGAATTAATCCTAAATTCAAAAGCTGCTTATAGAAGTAGTTGAATGAGTGAAAATGGGGACAGTTACAGATAAACTCAACATCTAAAACAAGAAAGAATAATTAATGATTGATAAACGTTTGAGTTTTAAATGCTGCTGCACATCAGCTTCAACGCATTTCCTTTAGCTGAGCTATAATTAATCATTGATGGTTTTACCTCCTGTCTCTTTCTCTGTCTCTGGGCGTCTCTAAGACAGAGGTGGACCTTGATGCTGATGGGAAAGATGGTAAAAAAACAAAAAGTACCAATTAGATTAGATCAACAGATTAAACACAGACATAATTGCCTTCTGGATTTCTGAATGATGAAATCATTTTTGGGTTATCAGTAGATTAATCTGCATAATATGATGGTAAAAACCAGTAGAATGCTTCAAAGAAGGACCAATATCAGTTTAACATCATGCAAAACTTTAAAATAGCAAAGAAATGCTTTAAAATCTAAATCAGATCTAAATAAACCGAACCAGGGTTTGTTTAGATGTTTTAAACTGGTTCATACTCTAAGTAGGTCTGCTAATACATTTTTTCTTCTTTTTTTTCCAAAGCTACTGAAGATCTTTGTTTGTCTCCATCCAGATAGGAGGTGAAGCTTTGCCAGAAACCTTTGGAGACAAACTTTATGCGTTTAAATCGTTTACTTGAAGTTTGAGATGATTTAACATAATGGAGTCTTATCTTCTTCTATTAGCTCTCTGCTAATAAATCGGATTCAAACAGCTGCTTTTTAGACTCTGCTACAGTAACAGAACATAAAGGCAGATGTCTGGCATTGTGGAAAAGATCAAGTTTTTAAACTTTGACCTGAAACTCCAAATAACAGCTTTAACTTTGCAGAAGGAAACATGTGGAGCATCTAAGATATTAAAAACCATCTTTCAGAGCCGCACAATGGGAATCTAAAGGTAAACCAAATGTAGAAAGGGTTTATATTTTAGAGCGGGACAAATCAAAATTAGGTAAAACCAGCTTTTATTACAAAAAAAGGGTTAAAATTGGGTAAAAACTTCCAGACTTAGTTAGAATATATTTAAACAAACCTGAGCTCAGTTTAAACAGAATGTTAGTTTTAGTTTTAAATCTTTGCTGTAGAGTTTTAACAGCAGCTTAACTTAGTTTCTAAGGTGTTAATTAACAGCAGGTAATGATGCATCGGTAAACTGCCCCAAAATCAGCTCTGATCAAAACTCCTCCTTTAGGAAATGCACCAGAAAAAATACAACTAGGGTTGGGAATTAATAAGATTTTCACGATTTCAATTCCCTTATCGATTCTGTGAAACTATTCGATTCCTTATCAATTCTCTGGACAATAACTTGATAAGTGCGTGGTGACATTTGTCTACCTTCGCCTGAGACATTCTATTTCTGCCTGCCTCAGTGAAAACAGAAGGCAGTGACCGGCAGCTGCCAGCCTCTGAGCCAGCCAGGCTACCCGTCTCGTCACAGTCATCTATATTTAATGGAGAAGGCATCCGTTTAATGAAAAAGCATTACTGTACAATTTCAGGAAATAAACTAATCTCCCCTTGATTTAAATGAACGAGCCTCACCTTTCTCTCGCTCTTTGAACTGCAGAGCAACTTCGTAGCATGTTTAACAACCCCAAAGAGACGTAGGAAATTGGTTTATTTCCAGAAATGGCATATGACTTACTATGAACCTCATTAAGCACAGCCAGTGATATAAAACGAACTACTTGCACAAGAGTTGCCTTCCATGCTGGTCGTAACTTTAGCTTCTGTCCGGAAGCATCAAAAACACGCCATTTGTTAAAATGTATGACATTTTAACGGATGGCATACATTTTAACACTGACATTCGTTAAATTTATGCCAGGTGTTTTTGCATGTATTTCGTCCCACGGATGTAATTGCCACTTTGCAATGATTGCAAAGCGCCTTGTTGCCACATTTCTCTTCCTTAAAATGAAGCCAGACTGTCGATCACTTTGACCGCTTCTGTTTTGCTGTTCTAGACTACCTGGTCACGTCGTACTTGCTTACTGAATGCTGTGTATGTAACTTGCATAAAATATGTGACATAAATCGCGCTGCCCAGAGCGCTAGGCTCTGGTGCTGCCTGCGACCTTTAAGAGAATCATTAAGCGAGCTGCTAAACGGTGCTGTGGCATTGGAACAGACGGAACCGGTTTTCGATTCCCATCCCTAGGTTTAACAGAACAATATATGAGGGCTTAGATAAATTCATGAGTTTTAAAAAGCTCAGATTTGATGCCTAAAAAGGAGAATTCTGCAAGTCATTCAGCCTCTAAATTATGGACTGAAACTAGAAATCTGTATCATCCCAAAAACCAAGAACAAATCAGTGCTTTTAATCCAAGTCAAACTTGAATTTGTACTGATGCTTGTAGTCACAATTTATTATAATCTCTACTCTTTATAGATCATGAAAAAAACATTTTACTTACTTCTCTTGATGACGGCTCTGATGGAGGAGAGAGGACCCTGGCTGCACAGAGAGAAGAACATCATTATTTCACCTCTGCAATTACCATTTTCTCTCTTTCAGCTTTTAAATCACTTTCCATGCTTTTCAGCAGCAAATTATACTGGTATAAAATTTAACAGTATTGTTATTTTATGAATTAAAAAAAATAATAGTAATAATCTTGTATTTTTTTTTATTTATTTATTTATTTTTTTTTTACAAAAATCATGTCTGGGTCTACCTTAATTCTCGAATACAATTTCAACAAGTTGATATTAAACAATTAATAATGAAGTAGTAATGCAATATAACAACAAATACTGAACGTAACTATAAAAAGAATTTTAAAAAAAGGAAAATATTTTTTCCCCAAAATCAAAAGCATGTTTGGTCGGGTTAGTGTCACCCTTCATCTGGTTTGTTGCCTAACAACAACTTTTAGCTTAGCTCTAATGTTAAAGGGGAGCTCAGGCTGCCATAAAGCACAGCTCTGGGTCACATGACTCATTTACCCCATTCACACTACCCTTGAAAAACCGAGACCGAGCTCTGATCAGTTAACCAGGCCGAGCTAGTGACGATCTGCGGTATTACTGCCAGTATTGAAGGAGGAAATCAAGCAGTTGGTGGCGGTAATGCACCAAAAGTTGTTTGCCAACGTCCATAAAACACAAGAAGAAGAAGGCGAAAAAGGAGGGAATCAAGCAAATCAAAATGGCGGCGCCCATCACTTTCAGAAAGTTATGCTTGATTATTATTGCTGTACTTCGGTGTTATTATTTAAAATGTTGCTTGGAGAAGATTTCAATTGTTGTTTATAGTCGTTCTTCTTCTTCTGTTTTGTGTTGGTTGGCAAGCAACTTCCGGAGGGGCATTACCGCCAACTACTGGAATGGAGTGTGAATCGGGATGTGCGGCCAGACGGAGATGACGCGTTCTGCTCATGCGCTCTTGTTATCAGAGAACCGAGCCGAGCCCACCTCTGGAACTGGTCTGCAGTTAGCGCGGTTCGGTTGTGTCTAGCTCGGTTCAGTTCAGTTTGCTTTCCATTTACACACAATAAGTTATCTCAGTTACTAAGCTTGGACCGGTCTCGGCACGGTTTTTCAAGGGTAGTGTAAATGGGGCAATTAAGAGAAGAATCCAAAACTCGCTTAATGAGGACAGTTTTAGAAAAGAGCAGCCCGCAAAGAGCACCGATACACACCAAGTGCTAAATATTGACAAGAACATTTTTTAACTAAATGAGGCAGTTACTAAAAACTGAGATGTCTGAGGATGCAGCGCTGGATTTATGAAGTGTGTAAGACAACGTAGGAATTTGAACTGTCAATAAATGCCTCCCCCCTCCTGAGGATAAAATATTGTGAATCGTTTTCAAGTGTTCTTATTTCTAATTCTACCAATGAGCTTCCACAATACTATGTTCAAAAGTTAAACAGTGATGTTTTAAACTTCCTCTGATCATTGAGATAAAACATGCGTTCTTTGACGTGTCGCTAAAACTTTAATCTGATGTTTTTGGTTCGAAGGAAACTAAGGAGTCCCAGGTTCCGATGACACTCAGAAACAGAACCAAAGCTGCCGGGCTTTAAAGGAAATCATCTCTAAATCTGTTCCATTTGACAGCGTTTAATTTAAGCCTATAAAGCCTGGACCATTACATAATTGACACTTTATTAGAGTTGTCATTGAACTTTTTGACCAATTACATCAAAAAAGGTTTGTATAACTTAAATAAGATAATTTATTTGCATCAAATTTGATACATACATCTCTCTATCATCTTTTAAACGTTTTCTGTTCCCTACATGCGACTTATTGTTCAAGTGAGGATTTTCAAGAATAAAAATATCACACTGATGATGTAGAGGTGTCAAAAACCCATGTATCAAATATGATACAATTGGCTTTAAAGGGTTAGACCTTTTAATTTAACTTCTTCCTAGTAAAGAGGTTTACTTTGTGATTAAAATAACAAAAACAAAGAAACAAAACAAGCCTCATTGTGTTCAGATTTATAGAAATAATTTCCTCAATTATATTCCTCAAATAATTCCAAATAAGCACGCATACGTTTTTTTTTTTTTTTTAACCATATTCTAAGCAGTGTGTGTGGAGGAGTAAACATTTGTGTTACCACTCAGTGTTAGATGAAGATACAGTTAGAGCCATAGAAATAGAAAACTAGAGTGGAAAAACACAGAAACAATAACAGTAATTGCTCCACAGGCTGATAGCTGCTCCGGCTGATTAGACGGCCGCACGTAGGTTATAAAAACTAATTCAACCATCATTTAAGGCTCTTCTTTATTCTTTGCCCTCGTTATCTGGTAAAAGTCTAGCGTGACGATTGCTCTGATTAAGAGTTAAGTGTTAAAGTCTAGTTTGCTTGTTTTTTTCTTTAGAGTTATCCTTACAGGATGTTTTATCTGTGAACATTTCTAGGGTTAAAGAAAAGGAGCCCGACTACAATCAGGGTGCAGTCACTTAAACATTATCCATTTATCCTTTCAATGCCTGAAGAATCTTCCTTTTATAAATACATCTATACAGCATATCAATTAAATAGGTGACATAAAAAAATAATAAAAAAACAGAATATGGTTAATTTCCCAGAAGGAAGCTTTAGCTCATAAGCTCAGACATCTTGGATTAGCTTCTTGTTTTCCGAGTCAAATTCTGTTGCAAACTGTGTTTCTCTGTGTTGAATTTGGCAGATTGGTTTAAAGCCCTTTCTCCATTACATCATTCCTGGGTGTGAGTGTTGATGACTGACAGCAGAGCAGCTCGGGCAGAGGCCGACGTTAACCAGAAACACAGAGGCAGGAGGACAAATCAACTGTCAGTTCTGTGAATCTGATCCAAATTAGCACTTTTATAGCTTTGATTGTTAAAAATATAAATATGGATTACATTTAGCCCAGACCTTTGTTCTCTTGATTAAAATACAGCTTACAGCAGATCAAATCCAAGTTATTTATACAGCACATATACCCATCCAGATGTTGCTCAGAGTGCTTTACATATCAATATCAGAGCAAGAAGTTTAGACGAGATAAATGCAAAAAAATTTAAAGCAAGAAAATACATGAGAGAAACCAAGAAAACCTGTCATCAATAAAAACATAAGGACTTAAAAGTCAGAAATAGAGATGCATCCTAAGTAGCAAAAGTAGGAAATGCCTTTTTTTTAAAGAACCTTCTAGAAATAAAATCAAGGGTCTAATGTGTTTGCACCAAAGACAAAATGTTCTACAAAAAGTAAATTCTGCTAAAACACCATGTTCACCGAGTTCATAGGTTTGATACATGTTGAAAACAACCATGTGATCATTTCTAGTGTTTACACAAAGTTAGTAGTTCAAGGAACTACTTTTCATATTTGAAGTATTTCATCTGGGTAGAACTCTGGGTAGCAAGCTAATTTATAGCATGTAAAAGTTTTAGGATTCTTCTTCTTAAAGGAATTGGAACCAATAGGAACTGGAATTGAAACAAGGAATTGGAATTATTTTAATTAAAACGATTGGCCTAATCTACTGAAAAGTATTCAATCACAGCCTGTTTACTTTCTCAGGTTAGTTTCTCAAACTAAGGCTGAAACAATTAATCAGATTCATAGTTATTAATCAGTTATTGAAATAATCATGAACTAATTTTGTAATCAATTCATTGTTAGCATTTTAGAGTATAGAGACTCTAAAATATGCCTTTAGCTGAAAGAGTAACTCAACTCAAGCAGCAAATATAGCAAAATTGTAAAAGAAAATGTGCAAACATTTGGCATCTAAGATATAAATCTTTGTCATCTGTCAACATTCTCTATCCTGAACTCCTCAAGTAGAAAAGCTTTATTTTCCTGCGATGGACTGGCGACCTATCCAGGGTGTACGCCGCCTCTCACCCATAGACTGTCACAGAGACAGGCACTGGCCCCATTGCTACCTTGACGGAATAAACGGGAGAAGATGGACGGATGTCTGCTTATCAAATCTATCCATCCATGTTCTTCCGCTTATCCGGGGTCGGGTCGTGGGTGTAACAGCTTCAGTAGGGAGGCCCAGTCCTCCCTCTCCCCAGTCACTTGGGCCAGCTCCTCTTGAGGAATCCCAAAGGTGCTCCCAGGCCAGCCGAGAAACATAGTCCCTCCATATCCTGGCTCTTATCCTGGGCCTCCTCCTGGTTGGACATGCCTGGAACACCTCACCAGGGAGACGTCCAGAAGGCATCCTAACCAGATGCCCGAGCCACCTCAACTGGCTCCTCTTGATTGGGAGGAGCAGCGGCACTGAGCTCCCCATCCTATCTCTAAGGGAGAGCCCAGACACACTACGGAGAAAACTAATTTCAGCCACTTGTATCCGGGATCTCATTCTTTCGGTCATGACCCAAAGCTCATGACCATAGATGAGGGTAGGAACGTAGATCGACTGGTAAATCGAGAGCTTTGCTTTTTGGCTCAGCTCTCTCTTCACCACAACAGACCGGTACACAGCAGACGCCGCACTAATCCGCCTATCCATCTCCCGCCCCATCTTCCCCTCATTTGTGAACAAGACCCCAAGATACTTAAACTCCTCCACTAGGGGCAGTAAATCCTCCCCAACCGGTAGAAGGCACTCTACTCCGGCTCAAGACCATGGTCTCGGATTTGGATTTGATCCTCATACCGGCTGCTTCACACTCTGCAGCGAACAGCTCCAGTGAGAGCTGTAGATCACGCCC